TACAATGGTTGTATGTTGAATGATTTGTTGTACAATGGTTGGAAGCGATTATAGTTAGGAGCAGTATCCGAGACTTTGGTGCACCATCTTCAAGTTGTGTCAATGCTATTTTTTCAAGATGATGCACTGCTTTGTTTTATGTCTTGTGACTTAGCGATGTTGGTCTTTACTCCATGATGTTGGCTTTTACTCCACATGATGCTTTGTTACTCTATAATATACATCGCTACTCCAGGAGAGGCTTTGTTGCAACTAGTAGAAGGTGGCCAATGGTGATGGACATGTGGGAATAAAAAAGCATTTAGTCTAGAACAACATTGTAATTTGGCTCCTTCTTCTCGAATCGGCTCTAGATCCAGCTCTTCCTTAGGTTTGAGATCTAGATGCCCTTTCATGAAAATGGGTATGACTCTACTTATATTACATGAGAGTAGCCTCCCTCCAAATAAGAAAAGAATCATGACCATTTCATTGGATGACCCGAAGAGATTCTATTGATTGAGTGGCATTTTGTAGAGATTTAAGTACAATGATGATGTCAGAATTGAGTGATCCCGGGCTCATTCGACTCAACTTGTCGAGACAATCGATTTGCCTATAAGTTTATGATGTTTGAGATACATTTGACTTTCCAATTAGTCACATAAAGCTTCAAAAAATTGTTTAATGACTTGATTTAGTATTGATTTTACTTGAATTGGATCAGTTTTATTGTTATTGGGTTTGTCTACTTATGTCAGCTAGTTCGACTGTAAGTTTGCTAAAATTAGGGTTCTAGATAATTCTAAATTTAATTTGAGTGTTTTTGTGCTAACGAATGCTCCGAGATTCATGTTAACCACCTTGAGCTTCATGTCAAATAACAAGATTTGGTGAAAATATATCAAATATATTTGAATCAACCTATTTTTTTTCCTAAAAACAATAAAATGAAACTTTTGTTCAATTTATTTTTCTCGGTCATGCATTTCTAGATTCACATATTTGTTCAATTTAAAGGCATACCTTGCTAGAAGTTAGAGGATATCCATTCATGTAAGTTTTTGTTAGCTCAAATTTTTCATTTTACAATAAAATAGTTCAAACGTAAACAATTACAAAATCATGAAGTTGTTTTTTTATCACAAAGAAGTTCAGTTTTAAGCAAATATATTGATACGTAATGAGATAAAATAATAACAAAAATAGAACATAGTTTTGTACCTACAATTTGTACAAAATATTCAATTTTGTATAAATATAAAGCTATGTACTCCTTTGAGAATAGAAAAAAAGAAAAATACAAAATTGTGTACTTATGACTTGCAGCATAATCAAGCATCATTGCTATGTACTTTTATCATCATCATAAGCCAATTTTTAACAATCAAGGAACTTTATACAAATCTATAATTAATATTTAATGAAAATATGTTCAATTTGATCATTGAGTCTCATAATATCACCATGGTTTGACTTCATGAAATTGAGTCAGCCTGGTATTCTTAACTCAGTGCTATGTCAAAACGGGGTCCAAAGGCTTCTAGTATGAGTACTAAAACTTTGGATTGAATTTGTGTTTTATAAGGTTCAACGTTCCTAAGGTGAACTATGGGTATATTTGGTCTAAATGAGGAACTTAGTTTGAGTCATTGTTCCTGATAAATTTATTATGGTCATTCTAATTTTATTTAGATGAGTTAAGGATCAATTTGAGTTTATTTATAATAAAGAATGGTTTGTTGGCTTTCAATTCTAGTTTTATTTAGTTTTAGTCAATCCTTATGAGTATCATCTAAAGGGAACTGCAAGCTCTCTTATATCAAGATCTAATTCTATGAACAAAGAATAGGCTAGAGTAAAAGTTAGTTAACACAATCAAAAGAGTGACTAAAAAATGCAAAGAAAACTTCTCACCTTTTTAGGGGACATTTTTGAATATATGTTATGTGTTACATAAGCAAAAGAATATGGCATGCATGTATACAAATTTCTTAAGCCTTTAGTATTGAAATTTGAGCAAGCAACTATTTATTTTTAGTGAGCTTCACTTGTTAAGTCAAAATTATTTTAGGTTTTAGTTCAAATACCAAGTTGATTTGGTCGTGGAAATATGGACCCAAGGCTTTTAATTGTTGTGTTTGATAGCTAAACAAATTTGAAAGAGCTTTGCATGCATTGGAAAAAATTTTTATAAGGTTTATACTAAACTAACAAAAGACTTCCATAAGAGAATGTTGGAGAATACGATCTAAATTTTTTGGATGGGATGAAATATATTAAGAGTGCTTGGAGGGGGCTACATCAAGACAATATTGTGTATAAATTAGACTGGTTTTATTAAGTCTAAGAATATATGATTGGTTGATTGGTATATCTAAATATTTGGAGGCTTGAGAGAGTTAGAAAGGCTAAGGAGATGCCTAAAAATATGAAGTAAGGTTTTGGTTGGAATCTAAGAAATTTGGAGGGTAATGGAAATAAACTAGTTAAACTAAATCAAAGGTGCCCTAATTTTAGGAGACAACTCATAAACAACGTTTAAAATTTTTTTCCCTTTCTAATGGTGGTTGGAAAAGTCAATAGAAAGAGTATATATATAGTTAAGGAGTTGAAGAGGTGGGGAAACATATTATCAAGAAATAAGGTGAATACGAAGGTTTTTCTCTTTAAAAAAAAATTCTACATGGGTAGGCCAATGAGCTCACAACCAAGAGGATTTTAAACATCATGCACGAAATAATGGAGATTTCAATCTCTACATTTTCTTCTCAATAACAAAAGGCTCAATTTCAGTAATATAATTAAATATTTAAATGATTACATCATAACCTTAGAAAAATGAGATAAAAAAGAAAAAAATAAAAGTAAAGAGGGAAGAGGAGAGGGCCACTTTGATTTTGATTTTAATTAAAAAGCATCTTCCAAATGGTGAAGAAATACAATATATAGAGCAAGACAAAAAAAAATTCTCTACATAAGGAAATTGTACACAGAAACAATACTAATCTCGAGGAGAGCTGATGGTCTAAAGGCGAAAACGTATTCAAGAGGAGGGCCCACCATTTCAAAAAATAGAGGCCCAATTGTCCGACCAGATGCAATAAAGCCAAAGCTGAGTCATGAAGGCGAACGAGTGACTCAAGCCCGAGCGGCTCAGCCAGACATGAGGCGAGAGACAACCCGAGCATACCATCACGATAAAGCCAACCTAAGGGAGGAGCTAGCCCCTCAGTTACTACAAGCTATGCCGAAGACATCCAATAATCACCACAAAATACTAGAAAGAGTTAATAAGACGACAACTCTCAAACATACACAAGGATCACTTCGACCAAAGACGAGCTACCTATTGGATTACAATGGTTAACTCTCTGCCCGATTTCCCAACTTTGCTATACTGATAAGAATACCTCATCAGGGAATGAGGGTCGACAACTGGTCTTTTCCAACAAATAAACAAAGCTTACTTGATCAGATCAATTATTCTGACCTTTAGACAACAAATATTGTCCATTTGGCAGTGTCTTCCAATCTAGCCGACTGTCAACGCTGATAAACACACTATTTGCTCATCCAACTAAGCATCTACCTAGGCCTCGCTAGCCTAGCCAAATGAAAAAATCTACCAATGCTATCCATCAACAACATCTATACTAATGTCTCACCAACATAGTAAATTGAACTAGAGAATAGACATGTTCTTCACCCACGTTTATAAAATACATAGAATAACTTATATAGTCCTCACAAAGTATGGGCACAAATGTAATTTAACATACCATATCCCTTTTCTCTATTAAAAGAGGATCATTTTATGAAAGAGAGGTTACACAAACCTTAGCTAGAATGTTCTAAAAAGGTCAACACACTTGCTCTAAGTTTACTATTCATTGCTCTCTCTCTCTCTCTCTCTTTCTCTCTCTCTCTCTCTCTCATGTCTTATGTTATATCTTTGAGTGTGATTCACAAACAAATTTTGATCCAACAACCTGAAAGATACAATAAGCGTGAATCATGTCATCAATAGGAAGAATAGCAACACAAGAAGAAGAAACCAATCACAAAGGCACCTTTAATATGGAGTGCATTGGTGAGTTTGTGTAGCAACATATACTAGAGTTGAAGGATGAAATTATGGATAAGATGATGGAAGTCATCCGAGAAGAAGTAGCTTGAGGCAAGGAGCAGAACTCTCGAGAAGGATTGACACCCAACGGTCGGAGGGCAACTCAGGCCCCAGGAAGGCAAGGAGATTCCAATATGACATTCTCTTGACAACTTTCTGAAGCTGAGTCTCCAAAGAGATTTAAAATTCTTGTCCTAGAATTCTACAAAGGTCAAACTAATCCGACCAACCACATAGCATTTTTCCAGCCGACCGTCTGCCATGTGAAGATTATTGATGCATTGAAGTGTCACCTATTCTCACTAGACTAAGGGAATCATCAAGCAGGTGATTCAATGAATTGCATAATTAAATTCGACAATGTTATAATTAGAAATAAAACTCTTAACCATTATGCTGAATAAGTTCCACATTAATTTGATCTCATATATTTATAATAATGTTATTAAGAGACATCTGACAAATACTCAATTTGCAACTCCTCTCTTATCATTATAAATCTTATCTTTTATGAGCAGTTGTCTCTATTACCAATAATCTAATAGCCAATTAATATTAACGTATTAATCAATGATTAATTAGTTAAAAAAACCAAGTTAAGAATTAGTTGGCCTGATAATTATTAAGTAATACTAAATGTAATTAAAAGACAAAAAAATTAAATCAAAATAAATTAATCTTAATAATTTCTTCAACAATAATAATTATTAATTTTTTCTTTGAGCTAATATATTTAAATATTGAAAGAAATTGGCAAATAATTTACTACAATTTAATCAAATTTAATCTCTATTATGTTAAATAGCTATCATAATTTAAATATCTCAAAATATTGTTAAGCATCCCTTTTAAATAAATATGCAGCATACGCCTAAACCCTACTTAAATTTTGCTATCAAGCAGCGCAAAAAGTCATCTTCGTCGGCGGCGACATCGTGTGTTGCCGAGGATCTTTGCTGTGAAGTGGGTGGCGTAGAGGCTTCTTTCCGGCTGCTAAGGGATCGCCTGTTGGAGAATTTACTGGGAAAGAGAGCTGCGCGTGCGGGAGAGAAATACGGTAGCGGTACTGTGCCATTCGTGGGCTGCGTAGCGAGGCGGCTTCGAGAAGCCTGGCGGCAGTTGGCTGTTTAGCGGTGGAAGAGAGTCAAGCAAGCTAATCTCATCTCATTATGGAAAACGTCACAATGAAAAGAGCAGAGGATTCCATAGCTGGCAATAAAAGAGCCCTCGAAGCTCTGAGGAAGCTCATCATCTACCCTTTCCTATATGGCCACATTTCTCAGAAACTCGGCCTTAAGGTTCTTCTTTCTGGTTTCTACTTTTATCTTTAACTTCTTGATGCTTTCCAACCTTTGGATTTTTGTGTGATGATGAGATTTTGTTGGTTGGATGGGATTATAAATTAGGGTCTTAGTTTCGCGTTAAATGAGGGAAAATGAAATCACAATGAGATTATCATAATTAGGTTCTTTTCAAGGCATTAGTGAGCTCTGTCGAGGTGTGCGGCTTCAAAGTCTGGGGGGACTCTGGAAAACACTGATTGTTGTGATTGCTAGAAATCTATGGAAAAGGAATTATAAGTGCATTCATAGTAGAAAGAAGCTTGAGTATATTATTATAACCACATGCAATCAAACTTAGGAAGTCAAATTTTCAAGTCTATAGTTTTATAATGTAGCCTTCCGAAACCCCAAAAAAATTTTTTGTTCGCACAACCAAAGGAATTTTGAATGCTTTTAACGTTGTTTGATTGGCTTTTGTTTTTTTCAGTGGCCCAGAGGACTGCTTCTATATGGCCCCCCTGGCACAGGAAAGGTACACCATTTTCACTTTATCATTTTTAGTATAGACATAGCACGTTCAATAGTTTTTAATGGCTCGGTAATTATGCTTTTAATTCATTCAGTTGAATAAGTAATGAAATTGTTGTTTTCCTTCCTCCAAAGTGCACCATTGCCAATAGCTCAGGTGTCATTTTCTGTAGTTTTCTACAGATAATGAGCAAATTGAAATTAAAGCAATAACATGTTTGGAAGAATAATTGCATATCCACTCTCATTGATGAGTATGATTATCTATGCTAGATACAAAAATGTGTCAGCACAAATCTTGAGGGAATCTGACGGTTCGATGAAGAAATAACAGTGACGGGTGGAAAAATTGATCAACTGGTTGTTATCCGCCAGGGCCAAGTCAAAGAAATCTGTTCGAGGGATTCTGGGCCGATCGATAGCCACTACCTTCGACTCCCTTTCCAATTGAGACCTCAGTCTTATCAGCCTGACCAATTGGTACGCCCAAACTAGAGATCGATCAGTAGACTCCTCTTACTCAGAAGGACCCACTGACAAACTAAAATAACCCTCATTATTTTAATAGCCCGAGCATAATGTAATCTCACTTTTGTATCCCTTATCTCTATAAATAAGGGATCATTTATTGAATAAATGTTACGTATTCCTACTATTCATTACTATGTTGTCTCTCTTTCCCGTAACAATTTATTCCTTGGGTGTATTTCACAGATAATTTCAAATTCAATATCCTGAAAGGTCCGACGAGCGTGGATTCATGCAAAAAACAAGCAAATGAGCACGATAAGGAGAATAAAGCCACCAGAGAGGCGTAGTAGTCATGGATTGCACTAGGGATTTTGTGGAGGGTTTCGTACATTGAGAGACCCATGAGTTGAGGAATCAAATAACGGGGCAAATTGCAGATGTTCTTTGAACCATGATGGCTCGAGGAGGAGAACATGCCTCACGAGAGAAAAACCTCCTTGACAAGAAGAGCCGGCGCACAATGACAAAAGTTTGAATTATGGTTCGGAGTGGGCCAGGGCAACACCGGGACAGTTTTGGATCCACATTGATGGAGAGACAACAATTTGGGCTCGCTGAGGCCCCACGCCAGTCGGAGAATGCATTCTCCTTCGAAATTTTAGGAACCGAACCTCTCGAGAAGTTTAAAGTCCCATCACTAGAATCTTACAAGGGTCGGTCTGATCCTAATGACCACCTTGCATAATTTTAATCTTCCACGTGTCTTCTAAAAGTGTGTGTCGTGCTGAAGTGTCATTTGTTATTTACCAGCTTGAGGTTTTCAACCTTGAGGTGGTTCAACGAATTGACGGTAGGGGTGATCACCTATTTTGCTGATTTCAGAAGATTATTTTTGACGTAGTTTGCCAGCGCCCACCGGCCTAATAAGAGATCACAAATCCCATGTCGAGGCAAGCAAAGTTCAAATGAAATCTTGCATTCTTACATCGTGCGATTCTAGAGGGAGATGTTGGAGGTAAAAGACCTACAAACCGAAGTGACACACGATGCCTTAATCCAAGGCATGAGAGGAGAGAGATTTCAATATGACCTCGGTTTAGTAGAGTTGCAGAACTTGACCGAACTTTTGAGGATGGCCAATAAACACATTGTCGCTAAAGTGAATGTCATCAACCTCTACAACAAACCTGAATCATTAAATCGCCGTGCGCAGAAGAGTGTCCCACAGAACAATGAGTGGAGACCCAAGGAGAATTCATGTCCTTCCTTCCATCCACGATATGAAAACTGTCAATTGCATCGCGACAACAGAGGAACTAACCGAAATAACGATCAGGAAGGTCAAGCAAGGAGTCTTGATCAACGACTGGCTCAACATGATGAGCGACTAGCTCAACACTATGAATTACAACCCAACAATCACCAGAACCCGAGGGTTACTCCTTTGAGAGTTTTGTTGGTTGAGTTAGTAGGTGCCATCCAAGATAAGAAATATTTCAAGAAAGCACACCGATGAGGGCCGGAGCTTTCCTTTGAGACACTAAGAAGTAGTACAAGTATCACAGGACCACGACCACGACACAGGGCTAATAACTTAGAGGCAAGGAAAAGCTCGTGGTAGAGGTCCCAGATGAGCCTGTTTGTACAGACGTCATCCATATAGCTGGGGTGGTGCCTGTTATTTTTGGAGGAGCAAATTCGTCCCGACAAGCTAATCAAATTTTGCACTTGACAGGGGAACCTTTCAGAGTAGCAGATTCGTCCAAGCAAAGTGTCTTTCCTTCCATTTTCCTTACTAATGCAGACCTTCCCCTGAAGGGGAACCCTTACAATGATGTCATCGTTGTTACAACAATGATCAACAATTACTAGGAGGGAACCATCTTGATTGACATTGACAGTTTTGTGAATTTGTTGTTCAATTCTATTTTTTATAGGTTGAGTTAGTCAACCGATTGATTGATGACATTTGCTAGCTTGCTATATGGCTTCTCTGGCATGCGGAAGGAATTCCTTGGGTAATAGGCTTGACAATTACCTGTGGAGAATACAATAAGCAGTTTACCTCCACAAAAGACTTCTTGGTAGTGGAGTCACCGCTGATTCACAACACCATCTTTGACCGCCCTCTACTAAATGCCTTTAGAGTTGTAGTTTCTACTTACCACGTCACAGTGAAGTTATTAGGAAATGGGGAGATTATTACTGTCCGAGGAGACCTGAAGCAATCTCAAGTCTGTTATCTTTAGGTAGTCAGCAATGTAGAGCACGATCCACCCGACATCCAGAACTAGAGAAAATGGGGACTTGAGACCAGTGAGACCACCATGGAGATCCCCATAAGTTAATGGGGAACCTGTTAAATATTTTCTATTCAATGAAACTTTTGATGAAGGTGATAAAGTCTTATTGATCCAGACTTTGGGGGAGACGTCTTTGCCTGGTCAACAAAAGAAATGCCTGGAATTCTGATCGATGCGACGTGCCATCGATTGAACATCAACCCATCCGTTCGGCTAATGAAACAAAAGCTAAGGACGTCGGGCATGACGCTAGTAGGACTAATTTGTGAAGATGTGTAAAAGTTGACGGAAATTGGCTACATCCGAGAAGTGCAATATCCTACCAGGGTCTCAAACGTAGTGATGATGCAAAAGGCTAATGACAAGTGAAGGATGTGTGTGCACATCGACAACCTCAAATCTGCTTGCTCAAAGGACGAATATACGCTGAGGATCAATGCTCTAGTGGAATCTGTGGTCTGCCACTAATGCACCTGAAAAATGCGCGAAAAAATGAAGGTTTTTTTATTTACGATGTAATTCTCTTTGGGCCTAAAAATGCTGGAGCAAGTAGCCCTAATGTTGGATGGATGTAATTTTCGTCAATAAAAAGGAAAAAAAAATATTGAAGTGCATGCGAATGATGTAGTGGTTAAAAGTTGGTGGGCTGAACAACACATTAACGACTTAAAAGAGACATTCTAAATACAAAAAATTTAACATGAGATTAAACCTACTAAAATGTACATTTAGGGCCTCAACTGACAAATTCCTTCGATTTCTTTTGACTCCCGAAGGCTTAAAAGCCAATCCCGAAAAAGTCCAGACATTACTCAATATCCAATCTCCCAAAAACACCAAGCATAAAAGTTAATCAATCGAATAGTGAGACTTGGTTGATTTATCTCTAAGTTTGGTGATAAATGGGCAGCTTTCTTTAAAGTACTAAGAAAAGCCAAAATCTTTGAGTGGTTGGTCGAATGCGAGGAAGCATTCAAAAATCTAAAGGATTCTCTTGTGTCTCCATCTCTGCTTCAAAGCCCGAAGTCGAAGGAGGAACTTTCTCTATTCTCGGGGGTCGGACTGGAAGCGATCAGTTCGGTTCTAGTCAAGGAAGAGCTGGAGAAGCAATATTCGCTGCATTAAACCTGTTGAGTTCTCAGAGATGCTGAACTCAGGTACCCGATTATAGAAAAAAATGTCATTTGCTCTGATTATTTCAGCATGAAGGCTCTGCGCTAACTTCCAGGTGCACCCAATTCGAGTCATGATCAACCACCTGTTGAAATCTATGCTCACTCAGACAGAGCATTCCAATCAGTTTCTCTAATGGGCTGTGGAGTTGAGTGAATTTGACATCTCGCATGTCCATTGAACGAAGATAAAGCAATAAGCGGTTGCAGATTTTTTCGCGTGCTTCTCAAAACCTTGCGAATCAGGAGAGGAAACAACGATTGTCTGACACATCTAGACCTTGTTCATCGACGACACGTCCAACCAGTCAAGAGTAGGACTTAGGCTAGCCTTGTGCAGTCTCAAGAGGGAAAATATCTACTACTTAGTCGAGGTGGAACTTCAGGTAACTAATAATCAGAGTGAATACGAAGCTTTGATCACAGGTCTTCGTCTAGCTTACGAGATGGGCACCAAGCACTAAGGTAAATGGGGAATTTGACATGAGAGATGAAATGATGACATAATACCTTAATAAGGCTAAAATATAAATTTGGAATTTTGCCTACTTCAAGATCGAGCATGTCAGGAGAGAGGAGAATCATGTTGCTGATCTTCTATCCAGGAGTCTTCGCTTAGGTGAGGGGTCACCCCAGAAGCTCACCCAACCGACCATTGATGAACCCCGGGTCATAGAGCTGGAGATCGAAAAAAGAAGAGTTGGACCGACCCCTATTTCCACTACCTGGAAACCAGTGAGATCGATGGAGAGGTTACATACTTTGAGGAAATTCAAATTCAAAACTGCTTGGTACTTTATGATTGAAGGAAAAATATTTCGGAGATCAACACCCTCACTATATTTAAGGTGCATCAAGGAAAGTAAGATCGAAGACGTTCTTCATAAGGTTCACTCTGGCGAGTGCAACAGTCACTACAGAGGAAAGACATTGGCCCATGGGATCCAGTAACGAGGTTTTTTTTTGGCAAACACTTCTGAAGGTTGCGGAGTTCTCCTAAAAATGTGAACAATGTAAAAAATAAGCTCCATTGTGGCGCTAGCTAGGCGATAAACTCC